GACCAAAAATTATTCAGACCGAGTCTGGGAAAAAAAAAAAAATGAAGTTGAGGTTTGCATGAAGCTGGTTGACAGCATGCCCAGGAGACTACATGCTGTCATTAAGACTAAGTATTGATAGTTGTGTAAATACTGTCATACTAACAGCTGTCTAATTTTTGGCTGATTGTAATCCATTAGCCTACATACCTTTCTATCAAAGTTATCTGACATTATCAAGCTGAATTTGTTCTGACTCCGTTTAACTCTGAGTTCTTGTTATATTTTATTACCATTTTCTAAACTATAGTGAATAAACTGTGATAATGTGAGAAATGTTGAAGGTGTCTGAATAAATTTTGGCTTGACTGTATCTATTTGATAAAGTTAACTAACTAACATTATACATACTCTTTTGGTTTCTGTACCCAATATTTAAAAAATTTACAAATGCAATAAAAATATTGGTATCGGTACTCGGTATCGGCAAGTACCAAAAATAAAAGTATCGGTATCAGGCGAGTACTGGAAAAAGTGGTATCGGTGCATCCCTAATAAGAAGTAATTTGATTCCCAACCCTCCTACTAAATAGTTTCATTCTTGCATGCAAAAAGACCTGTATGGTTACTATGGGCCTACGTAAAATATTTTTTGCAACAACAAGGTTTATCATTTGTAATTTTTTTCCGATAATGTTGATAATCGTCTGTTACCTGACTGTTGACATCAACATCGCGATACTTACGAGACATTGTCGATATACAATAATATCGTCATATTTCCCAGCCCTAGCTGATACTCTCCAAAATGGCGCTACAGGGTGATGCGGAGGAGACGAACTGTTGAAGAAAGTCGTTTTTTTATTTTCTTTTGCGCACAAAAAGTATTCTCATAGCTTCGTAAAATGACGATTGAACCCCTGATGTCACATGGATTATTTTACAGATCTCCTTGCTACGCCTCTGGACTTGGGAACATTTCAGTTGTATTGCAATCTATGCAGAGTCAGAGAGCTCTCTGATTTCATCAAAAATATCTTAATTTGTGTTCCGAAGATGACCGAAGGTCTTACGGGTTTGAAAAGACACGAGGGTGAGTAATTAATGACAGAATTTTCATTTTTGGGTGAACTAACCCTTTAAAGTGGTGAAGTTGTTAGGCTGGGATGGAGGGGAGGATGAGGACAAGAAAAGTCATGGAAAGATAGGTGGGGGGTGGAGAGACCTACCCTGGACTCGCTGCAACTTAGTTCGGCCAAATGCCATGGGCAGGTTTAGAGGAATGTAGTGCTCATGGTTGCAAACCGTCATAAGGAAATCAAATTTCATCTCTGTAAGCACCTGTAAACATACATTCATGTTTTAATTCACGTCCGAGTTCAGCAACAAAGACATCAACTCTTGTTATTAAGGAACAGTTACAGTAATTACAAATTAGGAAGTATAATATCAAAACTGTTACTGCCGATAACCAATAAATGACCAATATCAAACGCCCATAATATAATATTTTGTTTAATTGTAATGTATTATGTATTTATTTCAAATTCTACAAGTGAATTTAGACATTACAACATTGCAATGTACAGCAAGAATTACATTTAACAGTTTTTAAATATGTAATTTATCTAAAGGTCAGCTAAAGTAATCTAAATTTAATCACAGGTGGAAATAAGCATGCACAATTAAATATCCAATATAAAGTTATACTGACAAAAAATAAATTAAAAAAATCTAATTATATCTATCTATTTATATCGTGCATGCCTGACATTTTTGTGATTATAAACCATATTTTTTACAGTGCATAGTGAAAATACATATTTTGCGCCCTTTCAAAGCTTGTGTTTTCCAAGCTTTGCAGTCTAGACAGGCTGTGGCACATTGAATTTGCAAGTCAAAATGAGTCATACATGATCTTATGATATGACAATCCACAATAAAACTCTGTGATATCAACAGCACAGAAGATGAGAACAGAGAAGCTATTCCGCAAAAACCTACAAGTCACACCCATTATCTGGATGTCTGTTATGAAAGACCTCAGAGAGAAGACAATCTCTGAAGAATCAAAACCTAAAAGAGGTTAGGTTATTTTAGAAAATTAAAAACCCTCAAAGCATTGTTATACTGTACCTGTCAAAGCAAACAGGCCACTTCTCAAAGTATTTCAGAGATTAAATATGTTAAATATTGTTAAAATGATTTCAAATTTGACATGGATTTAGTATGAGATTATTATGTGTGAACAAAAGTAAAGTCATTGTATTTTACAGCAGAATTTCATTATCATCTAAAACTCTCTAATGTTAGGCCACCGGGTTGAAAAAAGAAAAATTATACCAATTAATATTAATAACCCACTGAATAAATGTAAGTTGTATTGCTTTGAGCATGTAATGCAGTTGAACTCTGTTGCCTACCTTTGGATCTTTCAGGCTGAAGCCACACATGTAATCATTTATCAAGCTGAAAGCAAATCCTCGGTTCATGAACGTAAGGCAGCGCTGTGCAGGAGGAGAGTTTCAATCAGAACAATGTAATGCCACACAATGAGTTTATGTGAAAAATTAAAAAACAATAATGAGGAGTGAAGTGCAATTAAACTTTAGACATACTATATATGAACAATCAAATTTGTTTGACAGTGAGGAGAATGAGGAGCAGGTTTAAGTTTGCTTCAAAGTCTTCAATATTGGCCAGACATTTAGTCGAATCAAGCAGATCCAGTAGTGACTGCTGGTACCAGAAAAACTACAAAAACATTTACATCATAACACACTCTTCTGGTGACCAAGCCCAAATGCTGAAACATTTCAAATAATAGCCATTATTAGATGAAACAGATAAAATCCCTAATCGTGGATTATCGCTCCAGGAGATGTGAAGGAGAAAAAAAATGAATCATCAACCTCATTTTCTCTATTCTACAAAATTTTATCTCTTCAGTTTAATTATTATAGTGAATGGCATTTGAAAGGTTAAAGATTAAAGTACAACTGCAGAATATCAAACGCGCTTGTGCTACTTACGAGACATTGTCGATATACAATAATATCGTCATATTGCCCAGCCCTAGCTGATACTCTCCAAAATGGCGCTACAGGGTGATGCGGAGGAGACGAACTGTTGAAGAAAGTCGTTTTTTTATTTTCTTTTGCACACAAAAAGTATTCTCATAGCTTCGTAAAATGACGGTTGAACCCCTGATGTCACATGGATTATTTTACAGATCTCCTTGCTACGCCTCTGGACTTGGGAACATTTCAGTTGTATTGCAATCTATGCAGAGTCAGAGAGCTCTCTGATTTCATCAAAAATATCTTAATTTGTGTTCCGAAGATGAACGAAGGTCTTACGGGTTTGAAAAGACACGAGGGTGAGTAATTAATGACAGAATTTTCATTTTTGGGTGAACTAACCCTTTAAAGTGGTGAAGTTGTTAGGCTGGGATGGAGGGGAGGATGAGGACAAGAAAAGTCATGGAAAGATAGGTGGGGGGTGGAGAGACCTACCCTGGACTCGCTGCAACTTAGTTCGGCCAAATGCCATGGGCAGGTTTAGAGGAATGTAGTGCTCATGGTTGCAAACCGTCATAAGGAAATCAAATTTCATCTCTGTAAGCACCTGTAAACATACATTCATGTTTTAATTCACGTCCGAGTTCAGCAACAAAGACATCAACTCTTGTTATTAAGGAACAGTTACAGTAATTACAAATTAGGAAGTATAATATCAAAACTGTTACTGCCGATAACCAATAAATGACCAATATCAAACGCCCATAATATAATATTTTGTTTAATTGTAATGTATTATGTATTTATTTCAAATTCTACAAGTGAATTTAGACATTACAACATTGCAATGTACAGCAAGAATTACATTTAACAGTTTTTAAATATGTAATTTATCTAAAGGTCAGCTAAAGTAATCTAAATTTAATCACAGGTGGAAATAAGCATGCACAATTAAATATCCAATATAAAGTTATACTGACAAAAAATAAATTAAAAAAATCTAATTATATCTATCTATTTATATCGTGCATGCCTGACATTTTTGTGATTATAAACCATATTTTTTACAGTGCATAGTGAAAATACATATTTTGCGCCCTTTCAAAGCTTGTGTTTTCCAAGCTTTGCAGTCTAGACAGGCTGTGGCACATTGAATTTGCAAGTCAAAATGAGTCATACATGATCTTATGATATGACAATCCACAATAAAACTCTGTGATATCAACAGCACAGAAGATGAGAACAGAGAAGCTATTCCGCAAAAACCTACAAGTCACACCCATTATCTGGATGTCTGTTATGAAAGACCTCAGAGAGAAGACAATCTCTGAAGAATCAAAACCTAAAAGAGGTTAGGTTATTTTAGAAAATTAAAAACCCTCAAAGCATTGTTATACTGTACCTGTCAAAGCAAACAGGCCACTTCTCAAAGTATTTCAGAGATTAAATATGTTAAATATTGTTAAAATGATTTCAAATTTGACATGGATTTAGTATGAGATTATTATGTGTGAACAAAAGTAAAGTCATTGTATTTTACAGCAGAATTTCATTATCATCTAAAACTCTCTAATGTTAGGCCACCGGGTTGAAAAAAGAAAAATTATACCAATTAATATTAATAACCCACTGAATAAATGTAAGTTGTATTGCTTTGAGCATGTAATGCAGTTGAACTCTGTTGCCTACCTTTGGATCTTTCAGGCTGAAGCCACACATGTAATCATTTATCAAGCTGAAAGCAAATCCTCGGTTCATGAACGTAAGGCAGCGCTGTGCAGGAGGAGAGTTTCAATCAGAACAATGTAATGCCACACAATGAGTTTATGTGAAAAATTAAAAAACAATAATGAGGAGTGAAGTGCAATTAAACTTTAGACATACTATATATGAACAATCAAATTTGTTTGACAGTGAGGAGAATGAGGAGCAGGTTTAAGTTTGCTTCAAAGTCTTCAATATTGGCCAGACATTTAGTCGAATCAAGCAGATCCAGTAGTGACTGCTGGTACCAGAAAAACTACAAAAACATTTACATCATAACACACTCTTCTGGTGACCAAGCCCAAATGCTGAAACATTTCAAATAATAGCCATTATTAGATGAAACAGATAAAATCCCTAATCGTGGATTATCGCTCCAGGAGATGTGAAGGAGAAAAAAAATGAATCATCAACCTCATTTTCTCTATTCTACAAAATTTTATCTCTTCAGTTTAATTATTATAGTGAATGGCATTTGAAAGGTTAAAGATTAAAGTACAACTGCAGAATATCAAACGCGCTTGTGCAACATGTGTGCAATTTTTAAAGAACATGTAGACAATGCAATTCAAACAACTAAACTGAAAAATAACATTGAAATGACAAAAATAATAAGATACAAGAAAAATTCTGCTGCTTCGTCACGGCTAGAAAAATATTACATTTGCTGTACTTTATGCAACTAATATACATATTCAGATAACCTTTCACAAGTTTGAGGTCAGTGAGATTTTTTAAATGTCAACTTATTTGATCAAAACTGCAGAAAAATTGTGATATTGTTATTAGAAAACAGTTACTTTAAATTGTATTTATTCCTGTGATAATAAAGCTGAATTTTCAGCATCATTACTCCAGCCTTCAGCGTCACATGATCCTTCAGAAATCATTCTGATATGCTTATCTGCTGCTTTAGAAATGTTTTTTATTATTATTATCAGTGTTAAAAACACTTCCGCTACTTACTATTTTTGTGGAAACGGTGATATATTTTTCACAGGATTCTTTGATAAACAAAGTACAAAAAATACTGCAATTATTTAAAAAAAAATACTAATATTTTGTAACATTATAAATGTCTTGACCGTCGTTTTTAATCAATTTAATACAACCTTGCTAAATAAAAACATTAATTTCTTATTAATAAAATAGAAGTATTTTATTTTAAACTTTTGTCATTAAAACTTTAAGGAAGCACTTAGAGAGCACTAAGTTAGGTCACATGATCCTTCAGAAATCATTCTAATATGCTGATTTGTGCTCAAGACACATTTCTTATTGTTATCAATGTTGAAAACTGTTGTGCTGTAAAGAGTTAGGCCTGATCTTATTAAAATACCACAGCTCTAGGCCTCACCTTGATGAAGCAGGCCAGGCTAACGTTGACACAGCGGGCCTCCTCTGGGATCTCCACATAGCGTATGGTGATGTGAGGCATGATTGACAACAGCAGGGACTGCAGCGCTTGGTGGAACGATTCTGGAAACCTCTGCGCTCGAGGCATCTGCAGAAAATGTACAGTAGGTGGTTTCACATTATTAACTATCATATAGCAATGCTATGAATGCTACATTGTTGGAAATGGTCATTTGTAAGGAATGTAGGATTTTATCTGATTTCATTTCAGATATTCTAACCACACGGAAGTCCAATTTTAACAACTGAGAAAAGTTTTTGTGTGTGTGTGTGTGTGTGTGTGTGTCATGCAATACTGTATGCTGAAGGCATGTTTGCTTTACACACCAGCCTTTAAATGACATACATGTGTCACAGATTCAGGCATATCAAATAGGTCTGAACATGTTTGGAACTGACTGACAGAAAGTTCCAAAACTGTTAAAAACACATCGTACATGCAAAAGGCAACTCTGTGTCAACAGTACAGTACAGCGCAGCTTTGTTTATGAGTTTAAAGGGTGTGTTTCTTCCCAGATACCTTGATCATGCACACTTTTGAAGAACGAGGAAGTTAACCGCATTCTATGTACAAAAGCCAAAAGTGGAAATCAACATCATGCTCGGCAGCCCAGGATTATTTACATCCAGCTATGTTTTACTGAAGATGATAACTAAGAAAAGGAAGTGGAAAGGAAAGCCCTATACATTCCTCTTTGATAACAAATGGCTGTTAACTGATTTTGAAGTTTCTTTGAAATTACTTTAAAGTGTAAAACATGGAAATGGATTATACTAACTTTCATTCTGTTGCCGTCCTGGAGGTATTGTGCCATTGACTTGGCCATGGTCTCAAAGAAGAACCATGAATACTGTAATACAAGATAGAAAGAAACAGGATTTAATAACCATAATAACACAGATGAACGTCATAAATGTGTACATACACATTACCATTCAAAACACTGAGGTCAGTAAAAGCAGAAATATTGTGAAATGTTATTAAAATGTAAAATTTCTAACGTATTTAAATGAACCTTTTTTATTTTAGTTAAAATATTCAATTTTAATATATTTTCAAATGTCATTTATTCCTGTGATGCCAAAGCCGAACTTTCATCAGCCAGTCTTCAGTGTCACATGATCCTTATTTCTAATATGCTTACTCTGTGCTCTCTTTATTATCAATCATACATTTTTTTAGGATTCTTTGATGAATAGAAAATTCAAAAGAACAGCATTTATTTGAATTAGAATTATTTTGTAACATTATAAATGTCTTTACTGTCACTTGTGATTCATTTAATGCATCTTTGCTTGCTAAATAAAAGCATCAATGTCTTAAAAAAAACTAAAACTTACTGATCCCAACATTTTCAACAGTAATGTAACATGAAATCTAAAATGATACTATAATATTAATGTATACCATTTCATATCACAGGAATGTGAACGTGTGCCACTATATATGAATTTTAAATATACATATAAATGTACAATATACCACAACATAATCACAAAAGTAAAACAAAGTGAAAGTGAACTGTCTTGCTGAAACAATGGACTTATTATTCTACCACACTATGACACGATCTCTGACACCAGCCAAAGTCAAACCAGTATTCTGGTATCTAATTATGTAAAAGCAAGTTCCCACAAAACTAGTTCTAAGAAAGCTTTGAGAACTGAATTCCAAGAAAATGTGTCCTTGGACATGGTTATGTAAAGACTTTAAGGAGACGCAAAGTCTATATGAAACAAGGTGGTTACAGTGAATTAAATACACTGAGAAAGTTCCAGTGGTACAGTCATATTATTTGTGTGTGAATGGTCATGTAGCGATACTTGTTTTTGAACAACCCACCAATTACTCATAACTGACTTGAACAATAAACCCCAATTCTGAAGTAAATCAAAAAGGTAGAAAACAAACACAACGGTGCCATCTTCTGTGCAAAAAGAGTAGCTCATATTCACCATAACCGAAAAGTTTTGTCACCTTGAGGAGTTTGTTGCAGGTGTTGAAGTCTGCAGTTTGTTTGAGGATGACAGTCACTGCTGTAGCCAAAACTTCATGCGTCGACACAGAGTTTTCTGAAGTTGCGTTGTTGATCCGAAACACGTACTGCAAAATAAAATACCGGTTTTATTTACATTTGTTAAAAAGAAAAGCCAGCAAAGCTCTTCTTGCTAACCAAAGTTATTGTGATATCACTGTCACATTAAAAATACAAATCAATATTTTTGTGACCAAATTAATAAAAATAACTGGTAACATTTTATAAGTATGCACTAAAAAAGCACTTACAAATCATTAACAAATGATTGGTTCATAGTTTATTTGTGGTTTATATATTGTAGTCTCTATATTTTTTATATATTAATAGGCTATAAATAAATAGTGAGTTCTTCATTCATTGTGTAGTTAAACAATAATAAGATTTGTGTTAATTAACTCATAGTAAAGGCAGAGATGCAAACAGGTAAGTGGAAAAAGGTGAGAACATTGCACGGATCGGGGGCATGCTCCACACAGAATTTCTTTTAAAGATAATTGCTTTACATGCTCATTTGTAGTTACTTTAAGGTTTTTTTTTTAATATATATATATTTTATTACCTTAAATGTCCAAAACAAATTTTTCCAAAAAAAAACAAAAAATATTTTTTAACATCTTGTTGCAACATTTTACCAAAATCAAGACTGAATATATTTGGTCAAAATCCCATGCTATAAAAGACAATATTGGCTGATTAGACGGCAATGCTGACCTAAAATACAAAATGTTTGCCCTCTCTCTTCACCATTGCCACATCTCAGATCTCAAATACATAAAATATTACCCTTTTTAGGCATAGTTTTTGAAGTAAAGAGTAGAGAAAATACTATACAAAACTTATTATAACAACCAAGGGCTAGTTGCATAAACTTAGCCAACGTGTTAAGACTGTGTCTTAAGAACTTGACCAACTAGCAGTTGCCAAGGGGTAATCATTAATCAGTCTTACTTTTCCAATACAAATAAGACAAATCTACCTTTCCATAACTGAATTAAAAAAGTTATGACCAGTAAAAAATGAGATGACTAACTTTTTAAGACTAGTCTAAACAGTTTATGCAATTATGCAACCGGCATAATTATTTACCCTTGTAAGACCCCTCTTGCAAGAACCCCCCCACCCCCGCCCCCAAGCAAATCTCATACATGACCTATTTTGATCTCAAAAAAGTGAGTTGTCACTGAAAGGTGAGGAGTTTGTATTTATGAAAGGAATTGTAAATTGGTTATTAGACTAATAATTAATTATATTATAATAGTTTGCAAATGATTAGTAAGTACTTAATTAGTTTGTACTTACAAAGAGTTACCAAATAACTTTTTTCTTTTTTATTATTCTTATTTCTTATATTATTATTCTTTTAAACTAAAATTGCTTTTGCAGCTGGCTCTTAATATGGTCGAATGTGATCCAATCAACAAATACATGGCAATGCCAGGTTTAACAGAAAGCCTAAATGTTGTACCTTCAGAAACATGCGTAGGTAATGTTCCAGACCCTCCTCATGACACTGAGACACTATGTGAATGATTACCCTGAGACAAACAGAGGCACATCAGTAATAGAGCAATACTATACGCTTTAAATCACATAAAAAAAAGATAATATAATATTCATAGGCCAGTCTGCATACAAAACAGTAATACTTTCCGAGAAGACAAATAAAGTGGTAAATCACCGTGTGGAGTTGACAGCAATATCTTGACTCTCTTTGCTTGCCATAGTGAGGACTTCAAAGAGCTGAACGAGCACCGTAGGCAGGAACTTGATGATGACCTGAGTCTCTACTGCATGTAGGCACTTGGAAATGAGACAGGAATATGAAAGAGGTCATGTGACACTGTAGTCTGGAGTGATGGCTGCTGAAAATTCAGATTTGCCATCAGAGGAATAAAAAACATTTATTCAAATAGAAAACAGTCATTTTAAAACATAAGAATATTTCACAATATTACTGTTTTTTTTTACTGTATTTTTCATCAAACATATCCAACCTGGGTGAGAGTAAGATGCTTCTTTCAAAAATATGAAAATTTGTTTTAACAGTAAAGTACATGCTCATTTCCAAAATGTGCTCCAAAGAAAAGCTTTGAAAAGATTCAACATTATTAAAATATGTCCACCCTGTTATGAAAAAAATGTTAAAAGGCACATCACACTATGTATTTTTGAAAACATAACATGGTGTAATATTGTTAAACGTAAATAAAATGAGGATATCCACATTTTCCTTTGATCACATGTAATTCTCACCTTTAGGTACTTGACGAGTTCAGCAGGATTGCCCTGTGACGCTGACTTCATCAGCTGGCAATACTGGAAGAAATTGTGGAGGTGCAAATCCTAGATGGACGAGGGTTACTAGATTTAATGCTTTTGTTTTACAAAACATGTCATTACTCTCTGTTCGGTACAATGGAATTTGGCTGAACTATCCTTAGATCAGATCAACATACCTGAGCGTAAATTGTTGATGCTACATATGCTCGCACTTTAAATAATGGTTTGGCATTCTCCACCCATTTGATATATGGAAAACACTGCAAAAAAACAGTGAATGAATCAGTGAATCAATCCCACCAGCCTAACCCAACCAATCAACAACCCAACCAACAAACAATGAATTTTCAGTGTTGTAAGTAAGATTTCACCTTCTCTGAGTCTTGGCTTTTGTCATAGATGTAACCAGCTGGTAGATTAGCAGACACAGGAAGTTGTAGCTCTGAGGACTGTATTCTGCCATCCTTCAATAAAGGAGCCCAGGAGTAACCCACTGTAGAGAACAAGAGTTAAAAGTATATTCCTTACACACACACACACACACACACACACACACACACACACACACACACACACACACACACACAAACTGTATTCTGCCATCCTTCAATAAAGGAGCCCAGGAGTAACCCACTGTAGAGAACAAGAGATAAAAGTATATACCTTACACACACACACACACACACACACACACACACACACACACACACAAAACCATTCGATCGTATGCAGTCAGTAAGATTTTTGAAAGAAGTCTCTTATGCACACATAGGCATTTATTAAGAATATTGTGAAAACTTCAAAGTATAGTGTATACAACACACAAGCACACACTCACCCAGTGTTTCCACTCCATCCCGTTTCTTGGTGGTGGTTTTGTTGCCAAGCTCACAGCTTATGTGGTAGAAAGTAAAGAGAACATGATGCTTCTCATGGACATGAACAGGAAGCTCGATTTTAATCTGTGACAGAAATGAAAATATTTGAACATTAGTGAAATCTTTACCAGTTTCTTGTATAGAAAGCTTTGTGTTTTTATAAGTTTTTTTAAGGTCCTTTAAGGTTCACCAGCTGATGGCATCATTAGACTCGGTCCAGCAAATCATCAAATAGATGCAGGCTATGTCTGTGCGCACTGTCTATGTTGATGTCTTGTGACTCATTCATCTATTGAACACACAATTTGTCCTTAATATGTTGGCCCTGAGGGTCCGGTGAAGCCTAACAGGATGCGTCTCTGGAATGATTCAGCTATTCATATCCTTGACGTGCTTTGTGCGGTTTACACCTCAGTCTGATCAAATGTTAATAAAGTAAATGTAATAGTTTTAGATCTCAATAATAACATAGGGTTGTGTTCATATTTTGTGAACCGTTTATGTCTTCAGACATACAAATTACATGTTTTTAAGAATAATGATGGTTTAACAATAATATTAATGTGTTTTACTAATTAAAAATTATAATAATATGATGTGTTGTCACCGCTTGATAGATTTATACAGATTATTAAAGGTGAGATATTGTACTGCTGTGCAGTTATTCAAAAAAATAACACTTCATGATAATATACGAATCTCACCTCATCATAAAACTCTGGACACTGATTGTGATGCAAAACTGCAGCAAAAGCACTGGTGGTGAAAAGTGGATCCCCTGGCTTGCCATAGATGCACTAAAAGCAAACAGTGGTTCATCAATTACACATTAAATGTCACTAAATATTAAATATTAAAGACCTGGTGCCACACCCAGAATAATTATATAGTCACCTTCAACGGGGCGGCTCCTTCATCATCAGAATCCTTGAACTGAACACAAATTGCAATGTTTCGAGCCTGGAAGAAAAAACAGACACTGTTTCAGACTGCATTACATACATTAGGAAATTTTTTTCTATATATACATATGGATGGATGGATGAGTGGATGGGTAGGTGGGTGGATGGATGGGTAGGTGGGTGGATGGATGGGTGGATGCGCATTTTGAAATATCGCATCAGAAACGAGTGATGGAATGTCAAATTTCAGATAAAAAATCCCTAAATTCGCAAATACATTTTTATACTCGCTTGAGGTGGTTTTTGACTTGTGCGAAAAAGGGTTAATGCAAATAATGGGAGATGGAATAAATTCCTCCATGCGCATAAAAAAGTCATGTGACTTTGCGCTATGGGACAGCATAACCTGAGTAACCAGCAGACCGATCTTGATGCACAGCATCTGAAATGTCATTATGGTCATTCTGAAATGCCTTTTAGAAAAATATTTCTGTATAATTGCCTCCCAGAACTGTCTTACACGAATGCGTTCCCAAACAGCAGGCATCCACCTCTGAAAGCAATGACCACATTTATTGTGCCTGCTCACTCTGATTTTACATATAAAAATTATTTTCAGTGGCTTCTCCTACTTTTCTTAGTGATAATTAGTGTCAGTTTATCAGGAAGTGATGGTTTTGTTCTCTTTGACTCGTTGGATGGAAACGGTGCTTAGTCGCAAATGTTTTATGCGATATTCCAATTTTGCACATTTAACTTTAACCTGCAACTTTAAATGGAGAGGATTTTCTTTTTTCCAAAAATGCCAGTTGATGTTAAAGCATTGGAGGAGGATGCCAAGTGGAAGACGCCATTCACATTGGACTAAAACCTACTGACTTTGCTCACACTGCAAGATTTTTGAAAATGCATCCTAGACACTGCAGACAGCTTGTTGATGTTATGCAACTCTCTATTCTAGTAGAAAGACGTCGTGACTAAGAACAGATTTTACAGTTCTCTTGAAGCATGCGTTTGTTATTGAGCACCAGACCTTGCTGATGTCGGCGGTCTTAATGTAGGGCTCAGCGCAATGGGTGATGCCGTTCTGTAAAACTTTTTCCACCCGGGCCAGCAGGAAGATGTCTGTGTGGGGGTTGGTAACGGAGAAACTACCCTGAAAAACACAAAGGACACACTGTGGTTATACGAATGATTAGAAGTGAAAAGGAAAACGTTTTGCTATAGGAGCTAAACGGTTGGTGAGCTTAAGAGACTCAAAAATATAATCTAGGATTTTTTTTTATCCTCATGTTTGTGGTCTCTCACATTTTGAAGATCTTATAAGATTTTCAAAATCGTTTAGTGTGTACCCAGCATTAATAGACTTTTCACTCATTTCCTCCATGTCTGCAGCTATCTTTCACTAGTTGCATTCACTCGTTTCCCACAGTCATCTTGAATGTTGAATTTTCAATACAACTGAAATATCTGAGAGAACTTCACATAAGCTAACTTCATAAATTGATGTTGATTTTCCTAAAATGTGTGTGTTGTTTTTTTTTTTACTCCCATTATATTGACTAGCGTTCCCTTAGGTTGGGCACTTGGAACTTTGTTTATGTTAATATGATTTTCTTCCTGTTAATGCAGTAATGCATCATGAAGTCAGAGTTATTTGATTTCAAGGGAAGAAAAGTAATAAATAGGTTGCTTTTAGAAAGTGACCTATCTTCTAATTAAAGCATTAGTGTATTTTTTTGTGTGTGTGTTTATTAATTAACTTTTTCAAATTTAATTTTTCATAATTACCTTGAGATGCTTTTAATTGGGTTTATATAATCCTTAAATAGTGTGGTAATATGCTAAAGTCTTTATTTAGCATCAGAGAATAAAATCATTTATTCTGCTCTCTGGGAGTCAGTGAGTAGCTATACGAAGTCATGAGTAAACCTAAATGAAAGGATCAAGTACCCCCTACAGTTCCTTTTTAGTTACTAGAACTCTCGTGTAAGTAAACTATACTAACTAGGCATTTATCAGTACAACATACTATTTCTATTTCACTTTACTTAGTGTTTTCAAGCCAATTGGTTTGCATGCTTTTTTTTTTTTTTTTTTTAAGTAAGCCCAACTAATTA